GGGGGGGGGGGGGGGGGGGAATCAAATGACTTAATTTATATAAAACAATAATTCATCTCTAAAGATTAAGAAAGTTATTATCACTTGATGCATTGAGATCCTCAAAAGTTTATGTGATAATAAATAGATTAGTAATCAAGGCATCGCTAAGTGCTGTAGTTGGTTTTGATACAGTTGCCCTTCTAAAAATGATTGTTCTATAAGCACAGTGAGTTTGAATTAGTGATGATGCACAAGAAAGCTAATCTTCAGGTTCTGGTAGAGTTTAATGAAATAATGGCTTAATTTATGATTGCTGTAAAACAGGAAAATTTAATTTGTGGGATTATTAAAGAAAGAATTAAAACTGCGAATATTGTAATGACTTTTTACAAATCTGATATGATCAAATTTAGAATATAGTATACCTAAAAGTGTACTGTATAGGTAGAAAAGGTAAAGAGAAGGGCAGCCAAAGTAATAATTGCGCTAGAGCGAGAACTGGGCAAATCATCTGTGGTCTCTAAAAAAACATAAAGTCACTGTTTTGATTATTAAAACAGTAAATTTAAAATTATTATTTCATTATTTAATTAGTAATGTCATGAGATGGCTGGTGTGGGTCTTCCGGGCTGTGTGGCTGTGTTCTGGAAGTTTTGTTTGTCATGAGAGCTTGAAGGTCTTCCAATGTTTAATCTAGTTTCAGAAAATAAATGTTATTCAGATTGTATCTTACAATCATATAATTCACCTCCAATAGTTAGTTACACCTGAAATCTTTGACCTCATTCTATTGTCCTGCCTATTAATTTATGCACATATATTATTTAAACATTGTGCTGAGCTCAGTTGTGATTGGTATGTAAATTACATGTGCAGTTCTCTTGATTACAATTACTAAATACTGGGTGTAGTCCAGAGTTGCCTGTATTTTTTTAATGGTTTAGAAATAGATTACTAAGTCATTTTGAAAAATGGCCTCATCTCTTTGTTCTCTCCTACTCCTCACAGACCTCAGTTTTGATATTATTTACACAGTTCACTAAGCATGCTGCTGTTTTGTTGCTCCATGTTACCACAGAGTAGAAGTCATAGCAGCAAATACTCTGTAGTGTTTTCTCTTTAGTCTAAGCTAGTACTGTATATGCTCATTGTATGATATGGCTAAAATACCTATTTATTTTGTTGGCATCTTTTGTTAGCATTTCCAACTAAATTTGAGCTTACACCTATTCCTGTTTGAAGTTTGATTCCAAATATTATTTATTAGCCAAAGGAAAAAAACACTAAAAATAATTTTCTGTTAAGAGTAAAGAGGATTCTTCCTTAAAGTAATAGTCCTTGAAAATTAAAGTCAACATATTTTTCAAGATATGCAAATGACTTATGCATCATTCATTATATACTGCCATGTTCCAAATCAGGAACTGGCAAACTTTTCAGATATTGGGTACTAAAAATGAAAAATGAAAGTGTATATTATAAAAAAAAATTAAATCTCAAAAAATAGCCAAATTTCCTAGCATTTCAGCAGTTACCCTTCAGAGCTCACACTAGCTCACATGAGAATTGGCAAACTTCGTGAGATTTGATGATCTCATGAAATTTGGGGAATATAATACCTTTTTAAAAAAAATAATTTGGGGATTCTGCAGATATCATCTAGCTCTGTCTAGTTACCTCTGGGACTCATGCTATCAGATCCTGAACTAAATGATCACTACCTCTCTTAGGAAATTGGATCATTGGTCCAATGCATGAATAAGCATGCATTTAAAATGATAGAAATGCCAGGTCATGTTACAGTTTAAGCTAGTCAGGCCTACACTACTGTTATATGATTTTTAAAAGGATATAGATGAATAATAGATATTACATGTTACTCATTTCAAACTTGTCTGTTTTCATGTGTTTTTTTTTGTAAAAAGACATTGATTTTCCCCCCTCTTTGATATTTATATACAATCCTAACTGTATATTAAAACATAATAACTTACATGGTTTAAATTAAACCAGTTACATTCATAATGGTATTTTTCCCACTTATGTTTATTTATTTTTGCCAATGAAGTTGTCTTACTCATCACAGACAAAATCATAAATTTAAATTTTATGTTATATTTTAATTAATCTTAAGTGTTGTCCATCTTGGTTAAAAATGCTGAAACTGGTTTGGAATTACACATGATTGTTTATTTTGAAATTAACAGGTACTCTGGATATTGAAGAGAGAAATCGCCAAATGAAAATGAACAAGTACAAACATGTAGCAGGATCAGATTCCAGGCTGGAGCAAGATTATCATTCCAAGGCAAGGGCATTTTGTTTTGAAAAACAGCAGAATATGTAATTGTCTATCTTGATGAGGCAGTAAGATACTAGTAATTGTTTTATGGGTAGCATATTTAATTAAGAATGCAATGCTGTTATGCATGTTTACTTGGAAGTAAATTGGACTACAAGAACACTTTTCAGCTCCTTGTACCCTTTTCCCTTACCTGAGCTTCCAGAAAAGCCCCTAGGAAGGTCAGAGGCTTCAAGAGTATCAAGAGGGTGATCCCTGGAGGCCTTAGGTTTTGTTGTCTGACAGAAACATCACTTTCCCTCTATGCCCTCAAAATGCGCTTACTGCAGAAAGTATAAAAGGCAAGAGAGTCTATAGCAATAGTATTAACTCCCATATGAATGTGTATAGCTATAGCTAGAAGATTCTGGATCATTTTCAAATCTATAATTGTGCCAAATTCACTGTAATTCTATGTAAATAAGAACTAGTGTGCTAAGAATAGAAATTACTAGGAATGTTAAGCAGCTGTCCATTTTAAAAGTAATAAATGACAAACTAATTTTGTGGTAGAGTGCAGTAATAGGCCATGAGTTTAGTAACCCATGAAATATCTGAAGTTAATGTTAAGACCCTATACTCCATTCTTTACCTTTGTGTGTAGAAATATCATAGAGCCTTCTTTTTGTAATTCATACATTGAAGGCTTAAAGATTCAGTCTTATATGTAATGCATAGGAATATACTGTTATGGATGCGAGCAGATTACTATCTGGCACATAACAGTGAGGTGTGCTTCAGTTGGTCTGATGCATATGGATTTACTGTGGCATTCAGTAAGATAAATACAGATGAGTTCAACTCTTTGGCTCTTTGGAAGAGCTACATCTTTTCCAGGAAGTGTATAGCTGCCCTGTGCAACTGCCACACAATCCTAACAAAAGGCCTGCCTTCTTGAAGGAGTTGCAGACATTTATGTCCCATACATTCTGCAACACCTTTTTTGGAACTGAACCCAAAGCCCTGTACAGCCCTAGTTTTTGTTAAATTCTGTATAGGATGATTGGCTGATAGTATTATCCTTGCTGTTGGAACACAAAACCTAATCCTCAATAAATAAATATTAGTCAAACTATATTTTACTATGTCTTGTTTTATTCATCTAATTTGATAAAGCGACTGATATACTATTAGTAAATTAGTATGCTATTTGACTGTTCAGCATACGGTAATTATGAGCAAATGTTTTCTCTTTATTCATTATAATCTTAGAAATATTGCTAAGAGTGATTTGTAGATGACATTGTATGTACGTTGTTTGCTTAAAAGGATTACATATGTTGTCGTGAAACATAAAATTATCTTATTAAGTATGATTACTAGCATAGATAATATGGTGGGTTTTTGTTTTGTTTTTGGAGATTACAGCCCCCAATATGTTTCTACCAAGAGGGTTATTTTGGGTTACTTTGCCAATAGTCTTCAGAGGGTCTTTTCAGGGAATAATGGTGCTCCTGCCAGGAGGGAGGAGTTGATAACCAGGCCATGGTTTTAGCCTTCTTTAAGATGGCCAGCGGACTTCTATAAGATGCTCTTTTTGTTGAGCCGAAGTTCTTGTCTCATTAAGATGAACCCTTCAAAATGAAATTAATACTATCAAAATGAAAAGTAGTTTGTCTAGGATTCCAGTTCTATACTTGGCTATGTAGGACATCTTGGGTGATTAAACATTTGAACATTGACTGATTCACTAATTACATTACATATGCATGAAAATTATAAAGCTTTAATACAGTATCTGATATTCTGCTCTGTGTGCGCATTTACATGCATATCTCTTATAGAACTTTGAAATTATGAGTGTGTCTTAATTCACAATTCGCATAAGCATAAACGGAAACAAAATACGTATCTTTCTCAGATATACACACTGTGTACATAAAAATAAAGTAGTAATAATTCATTCTTAGCAGTAGATGAAGTTAATTCCACTTTTAACACTTAGACCAAAGGCCATATCATAGATTACTGCTACAAACTATGATGATGAAAAAATGAAAATATGTCATAAATCCCAGCCTTTCATACTTGCATCCTGATAATACAACATATTTTTCCTTGCATCCCCCCACCCCAGACCATATGTCATTCACTGTCAACTTACCAGACTTTCCAAGTTCTGCTACACCTTGTGGCACTGCCAGACATTTGGCCATCATTAATATCATGATTGAATATAGGTGAAGCTGATACATTGATAAAACGTATGTAGCATGAATCAATACTGATCTGACATTTATGGACTGAATTGTTACCCCAACCTATTGGATACATTGTTTAGACTGGTATGACTAAGCCTGAATCTGTTTCTTCTGTAAGCAGTCAGATAAGTATCCAGTCTATTTATGAGCACATTTGAAACCAACTTGTGGATATTTTATTTAATCAATTTAATCAATTTATTTAAATTAATCAAATTTTGCAGGCATATCTTAAGCAAATTTAGTGGGAGGCTAATGTTTCCACTAAATTAACATTAAGAATGTTAAGATCTTTACTTGTACATGAAATAAGGATTTCACATAAAGTAATATTTCAGGATTACATTTATTTTAGCAAGAACAAAAGCTGGTGGCTGGTTTATTCCTAAGACTGCAATTCTATAGACATTTATATGAAAGTAAAAGAATAGAGTGGGATATACTTCTGAGCAAAAAAAATAAATAGGTTTCTACAGTAAAAATTGCCAAATCTGCATGCAGACTCTCCCACTTATTTCTGAGGGTTATGGTTCTATGCATTTCTATTCACATAGGAGCACCAAATTAAATGAATAAAAATGCCCTTTCAGAAAAAATAGTAAATTGTAGCCCTCATCTGTACCAGAATGCTGAATTGGAATAGGTAAAGCTAAAATCATTTGCGTCATGCACAACTCCTGGTGACTTCATGGACATATCCCTGTAATTTTCTTGGCAATAATACAAAAATGACTTACCTTTACCTTCTACCAGGATGTTTTTTTTAGTTCCCAGCCTTGGAATTTCCAAGTGATCTGCTGTCCAAGTTCTAACCAGGTTTCGGCCATAAATTGGAGTACAGCTGAGCAATATATATGTATTGTGAAAGCTCCTTGACAGGCACAGATTGTGGCTTAAGGCATGGAAGATTCCATATAAGTGTAATTGGACATTACATTTTTTTATAACAGGATATTAAAAATCCTGTTCTTTTTGTGAAGTATTTTCTTTCCTTTCTATGGATATTAGAAATAAATCTTCATAAAGATTTATTTTGTTTTCATAAAATGAAAAACAGAAAAGTGAGGGTTTTTTTTAGTAAAATGGATTTCCACTTGGTGTAAATAGAATTAGCTAATATCCTAAAATTGTAAGAATTTTACACTAAACTGGCTGATAAAAATTAGTCTTGGGAAAATTATTTATTACAGATTAAAAGTTGTTGACCAAGGGAAAAAGGAATTACAAAACTGGCATTCACTTAAGGCTTCTGTTCAGAGAGATTTGTAGCTATATAGGAAGAAATTATACTATAGTGTATTTATCGTTTGTGCTCTTTATTCAGCATCTTAATTTACTTCTCATTCGTTGGATGAATTAACTAACAATAAAGTGGCATTAAAATGCATTTTATTGAAGGTCACTATAGTTTTGCAAAAAATTCATTTGGGTAAGGAAATCCAATAAGGATTCTCTCCATACAAGTCATCAATACAAATGTGAAGAGAAAGGATTGCAGTATCCACTTAACTGATTATGGGTATTTGGAATTTTCTTACTTGTGTATTTCCTCAACATTTTGGTATTTCTGTATTAGTTGTGTGCTCCTATGTTTTTAATTTTGTATATGACCTTGAATCTATTTTGATTCAGCAACTTTATAAATGTAATAAATTATTATTACATTATTATTATCCCACTTGTTACTTTCCTTTGGTTTGATGAGGAATCACCGATGAGTATGATTTTTGAGCCAGCTATTTATCAACTTAATTGTCAGGCCATTCTGTCTATGATTTAACTATATTGCTAACCAGAATGTTATGGAATATTTTGTAAATTCTTTGGTAAAATTTAGAAATATTGTGTCTCCAGAATTTTCCTTTTTTTGAAGATAGTCACAACTTTTTCCTGTTCCTGGTCATATGACACTTTATCAGTTTTCCAGGATTTCTCAAAGATAATACATAAAGATTCAGCTAACATGTTCTCCAGCAAACATACTGTATTTCATGATAGATACAAGCTGCGGCTGTCTTTTCAGTGCTATCATAAAAATCTAGAGAGAGATGATAGAGAGTCATCTGTCATCCCTCCAAGGTATACCAAACTTGGAAACCAAAAACATGCAAGCTAATGCTACCTTTATTATAAGGTCATAGTAACAGAACCTTGCAAGTCTGAATGCACGTCCCCCCTCCCTCCCTTTATCTTCATGAGAACTAGGGAGAGTCATGTCTGAGACACTTTCTCAAATTACATTTCAGCTCTGGACTCAGATTTTTTTCATCTGACCATTTTCTTGGTTGTGGCTCTTCCTCCTGCTCCTCAAGGTTATTTCTTCTGTCTATTATATCAATAGAGAAATTGTCATTATAAAGAATGTGTTATTAATGACAACTGATATTTTGTCAAGTAACTAGAATGCAGATAAGATACCTGATCAGAAAAGGGTGAATTAAATTTTGAATATACTAGAAGATTTAAGTAATTTAGATATCTTAGAGACAGATATGGAGATACAAACAATTTTAAAAGAGGTTGGAGAAATATTATAGAATACTTTTATCAGTATATGTCCTTACTAAGCTAAATATACTCTGAGTTCTTAAAAATATAGTTTGGAATTTGAATTGCTGTGTAATACAAGTTGTGAGAATAGTAATTTATTTTATTTCCTTACCCTTCAGAAATAAGAGATAGGATATGAGCAAAGGTATTAGCTATCCTTTTGCTCTGCAGATCTGGAATTTTACTTATTAACTTTTATGAAAACAGCAGAAGTGA